ACGTAAACCTGCACTATTGATACCCAGAGAGAGAGAAAAACAAAAGGCACTTCAGAATGGATTCAGGGAGTCTCCACTGACTTTTTAAAGAACACCTGTGACCAATTTGATCCTGAAAGATCCTGTTTTTTTTAAAGAATTTATAGATTGTAAGCTTGTAAAAGTATTAAAGCAAAAAACAAAACAAAAAAACCACAAGGATTTAAAGGTTAAGCTTTTTTTACAGGTCTGATGGGAAACTTATCTTCACGGGTAAAAAATTTTATAAAAATCTCAAAGAACTTTTTAAAGAAACCTATTTCTAAAATAGAGACATGGCTATTTTTTCTGTAAAATATATTATGAATATTCTGTTAGTCTGTATTTAATATAATTGTTTTTTAATAAACTTTATTTAAATGTAACATGTGAATGCCAAATACCACACAATAATTCTAGTGTATACTTCTGTATGCAAAGAGAAAATAAGGGTATGGAATGATTTACAAGTATGTATAGATCCATATGCATACACACTGACCTATTCTAGATAATAGAAATTAATTTGTGGAGAGAAAGAAGTGTTTCTAGAAGAGATTAAGTTTTGTTGTAGTAACTACAAATACCAAGGTAATTTTTTTTTTTAATTATTTTATTGGCGTTTGTAATGTACCCATCACTGAATTATGCCACTGGAAAGGATAACAGTTGCACTGAAGCTCCCAGTAAAGCATTCTTCCGTCTGTCCTTCGCTTCAGTTCGTGCAACAGGGCTTGCATTTCCTCCGTTTCTTGCTCAGACTAATAGAGAATATTCATGGACAAAAAATTGTCATTGCAGTACCACCCTTTCTATTTGTTATTTATTTTGAAAAGCTGTATCTATTCTGTGTTGTCTTGGTACACTCTACCAAAGTACATATTCTGTATGAGGAACTCCTGTTTAAAACAATGCTGACAAGATGGGGGGGATCATGGACCCGGGCTTTGAGACCCACGCGTTTCATTTATGCTGCACATAATTGTTGCTTGCTTTGACTTTGGTAGAAATTACTTGCCTGCATCTAAACATAGAATAAGAACCATTTGGTTTAAATGTTTAAACCAGCTGTCTGCCATGATGTTATATGTCCTTTTAATTGGAAGAGAAGTGTTTGGTTTTGTTCTGGTATGTGATGCTTTCACATAAGGAAGACTTTGGCAACCTTTTTTTTTTTTTTTTTTGAGGCTGATCGATTGTTTACTGAACTTCATGACAAATTCTGTGCAACAATGAAATCTGGATAAGGAAGGGTGGCCTGTGAAATGTAACATCTCTCTGGAAAGTAATGCCATATTTTGTATATGTATTTATTTATATATTTTATA